TGGTGCCCTTGGGAACATAGGGTGCATCAAAGCTTTTGTGGTTTGTATACTTGGGGTGGGATGCTGTTCCATTACCAGCCTCCATACTTTCTTTTGGTGGGTGATGAAGGAGACTCCTGTGGGAGTTCAGTACATGTGTGAAGTATCCACTTTAGTTTCTGCGTAGAAAACCATCAGCACATGTATATTGCCAAATACCATGGCATCCTGTCTATTAAGGTGGCTTCAGACTGGGTCTGTTCCTCTCGGGAGCGTGGAAGGAATTTTCCTCAGCCATGTTGGCTCTGCTGAGTAGCTGGAGGGTCAAATGCCTTCTGCAGCTGTAGAGCCTCAGGTGCTTTTCTTGGCATTTCCCTGCTTCTCTTCAGTTGATCTAGTTTTAAGCTTCTGTAGAGAAAGTGGAGTCTAATACTTGGACACGAAAATTGTCCTGGTGTTGTCAAAATCTAGATTTCACGGCTTGATGCTGTTACCAAAGCACTGTACTAGCAGGTTGAGAATCCTGGACCACAGTGCCAAAGTTTGCTTTTGGATTTTTCCACCTTATTCCCTGCTCTCAATCCTCCCCCTTTCCAGGCCACTCACAGTTAGGTGTCAATTTTTTTTCCCCTTCCTCATGGTTGCCCTGACCTGCAAATTTCCCAGAGACAGGTGGAAAGATGAGGGAGGAATGTGGAAATGGGTCTCTGTTTTTATCAAGGTGTCAGTGCTCTGCTCTTGAAACGTGGTGGCTGAGAGATGACAGTTCAGCCACAGCATTGTGCTTCTGCCAGCCCACCTCTCATCTTCCATCTTACCTTCCTTTCCAGGTCTTCCTGCACGAGGCCACTGTGCGCCTGATGGCAGGTGCCAGCCCTACCCGCACCCACCAGCTGCTGGAGCACAGCTTGAGGAGGCGCACACCCCAGAGCAGCAAACAAGGTCAGCCTTCAGGCCCAGGCAGTGACCCACTGCATGTGGGACTGGGAGGGGGGCAGTGTTTGGACAAGGTGTAGGGGCATAGATACAACCTGCAGTGTCTTCTGCTGTGTCAGGATAATGAGCTGCCATCAGTCTGTGGCTCAAGGCAATGCTTCTGCCATGTTCTCTACAAGACAGCTAACATGAGCTGCAAGCCCTGGGCTGCAGGTGTCAGTGAACAGACTGGAAAACATGTGCCTTCATGAAGCTACAAGTGCACAAAACTTGGCAGTCTGGGGTTTGGAGTGGTCAGTGCAAAAGGCAGAAGCTGGGGATTCTAAAGGGAAGAGTCAGATGAAGGATGTAAGGGAATGGGAAGCATGCATGCCAATGTTGGGATGAGCCCTAGGAAGTGAACTGAAAGGAACTGCCTCTGTAGAAGACAGGACTTACAGTTTCTACCGAACTCTAGCTTAAGACTGTTCTCTGCTAGCCAAAAGGCCCTCAGGGTGCCCCCTGCTCTTGGCTCAGCCAGGGGATGCCAGCCAGAGAAACCTGTGCTCGGTGGTGGCAGTTCAGGGCCTGTGTGGTGGGGTTTTCTCATGCAGGTGGTAGCTCTGTTATGAGTTTTCTCTCTTCACTGTTTGTCCATAGGTGAACTGGACACGTTGCCAGGCCAAAGGGAGCGGGCCACGGCTATCCTGTTGGCCTGTCGCCATCTCCCCCTCTCCTTCCTGTCCTCGCCAGGCCAGCGAGCAGTGCTGCTGGCCGAGGCTGCCCGCACCCTGGAGAAAGTGGGGGACAAGCGCTCCTGCAATGACTGCCAGCAGATGATCGTCAAGCTCAGTGGGGGCACGGCCATCGCTGCCTCCTAATGCCGGCATGGGTTCCCTTTGTGCAAAGACAGCCTGGTTGAGCATCAGCCTGGACTTCCCTTCTGGACCTTAGAAAAAGTGCTAGGTTAGGGCTGTGCTGGTGGGATCAGGATGGGGTGGGAGAGGGAGGGAAGGGTTTTGGGTTTTTTTCTAAACTTGCCCCAGGTTTAGCTTTACTAGCTTCCTTGCTTGTTCTCAGGCACTGCAGCGGGATTCTGTCTAATTGTGATTTTTGTCACTGTGCCTGGGGCTGTTGAGAAGCACTGCCCCGATATAAATCACCTGTCCCTGCTTGGGACAGAAGCCCACAAGCCCACAGCATAGAGAAGTGGCACATCCTGTGTCTGTCCTCAGGGGTATTTTGTTCCCTTTCCAAACACCTCTGCAGAAAGGAAATCTCTGGGGAGGGCAGAGGATCTGTTCAAGCCTTGTCCCTTGGGACTGCTGGGGCCTAAGGCTGTTTCCAAAAGAGAGGGAAAGGCTATCCTTGAGTTGTGTGTCAGGAAACTGAAGCCCTCTAGACCCAACTTAACCTAGGTGCTCTGGGAGTATTGCTTGGGGCCAGTACTGCCTGGAAAATTTCTCTACAGTTTTTATACAAGTTTTTTAATAGGAATGTTTGTGGCTTTACAAAAACAAGGGGAACAATGCAGCAGATTTCCCTTCCCTTCTGCTTCATGCGTCTTTTCCTGTGATAGCTGCCTCCAGTTTTCATCAGGGGGTGGATTTGTGGCAGACTGCAACAAGCAGAGCCTGGTAGACCTTGGCATCCCTGGTCATCTGGTGCTGGGTGGCAGCAGAGGTGGGCATGCTGTGCCCTGCACGTAGCACGAAGGGTGAATGCTTCTCTGGTGCCTTTTCGTTGATGCAGAAACAATTTTTAGAAACAGGTTTTTTTATGTTACTCAGCTCCCAGTCCTAGAACTTCTCTTCAGGTGTTTCTCCTTGCCTTTTCTAACTGTTCCACAGCTCAAATCCTACAGGATTTGGGAGGCCATGGTTTAGGGTGCAAGTCTCCCAGCTTTGTTGCCGTTGCTATTCCAAGCAGTTTGACTTGCAGGTGTTGAATTGCCTGTGACTTTCCAGGAGTAGGAGGTGGATTTGGGACAGGGAGAGAACGGTTCGCCCTCTTTCTCTCTGCCTTTCCTGTTGCATCTCTCCAAAGAAGTGCAGAGTGGTTGCCCTCTCACATGTGCACATGTGGAAACCAGCCTTTGGCAAGTGGGCATTGCTGTTCCTCCATGTGTACGGCCGGTATGTTCTCCATGCTGGCAGCTCGAAGCATTTAGATACAGGCAGCCATCCAAACCCATCCTGTCTCAATCAAGCCTGTACTGCCCAGCTCCTTCAAACTTGGACTGTTTTGCAAGAAGCTTTATATTTATCCAGCTCTTGCAGAGAAGTGTGAGCTCCTTCAGAATGAGAAGAGAAAGATGAGTGCTTGTGGTTTCCCCTTGCACAGGGTATTTTGGCATCTGGGAGGGCCATTTCATGTGCTCTGCAGTATTTGAACACAGATAATGCTAGTCCTGGCATTGCCCAGCTTCAAGGAGATGAAAACTGGGGCCAGGAGAAACCTGTCTCCCAGACTGTTCCCAGTGAGTGTGGTCTGTAGCTGTGGACAAAAGACTGGGGACCAGAAGGTGTTTGCCTGCCTCCCCCACTTGATTTGGTGAATAGCTGGTGGATGCTCAGCTGCGATAGCCGGTACTGTCCTACTGGCTGGGGTGTCCCTTGCTTCCTGGAGTCGGTGGTTGCAGGTGGAGCTTATTGTTTGAGGGGAAGAGGTTGCTCTCAAGTATCTGATCAGTGTAGGGGAAGCTCTGGTGGCGGCAGCTTAAGCTTTGAGCAGGTACTCTTAAGTGTGCAGAGCAGCTCTTGATTTGTGCACATTTTGATTGCTCATTGCCAAGTTCATGAGCTTATCAGTGATCCTATTTTTTGGGGTAGATTTCCTCTTACTGATTTTTTTTTCCTCTTCTGTGGCTCTCATGCTGTCTTCCTTGTCATGGAGTATTTTTCTTAAAACACAGAAACTCCTTGCCTGTGGCAACCTAAGTTACCTTGCATTTCTCCAGGTCTGCGTGCAGCACATGGGCAGTTCTGTGCTTTAGTAAAATGGGAGGTAAAGCTTTGGGAAAGCAGTGATGCTGAGGTTTCAATTTGTCACTAATGGTAGTCTGAGCCCTGGGGGCTGGGCTGCAGGGAGTACTGGCTGGGCCAGGAGCTGGGAGAAGCTGTTGGGCTGAAACCCAGGTACAGAATAGAATGAAGCACCAAGGGTCCTAGCATGGCTGGTATGTCTCTGCCCCCTCCAGAGTGAGGGATCTTTGCCCTGTTTTTTTCTACACAGTTCAAAAATTTGCTGTCCATCTGTCCCTACAACTTTTTTTATATGTGTGTGTATATACTGTAACTTTTTTGGTTTGTGGGTGGGAGGAAATTGTTTTATGGATTATGTGAAGAAAGTCTATTTATCCACATGGAGTTCAGAGTAGGGATGCTTTGTGAAATGAGATGCAACTGGTGGTGGGGAAGTTGCCCAGGGAACATATCTGCTGTCTGAAAACCCTGTTCCAGGGCTTCTGAGCATCTGTTACCTAATAAAGATGAATGTTACCACCACCTCCCACCTGCCCTCTTTCTCTTGGCTCTGTTCATCCCACCCAGCAGCTGCTCGTAAGCAGAGGTGAGCTTGAAAAGTCCTTTAGAAACATAAAACCTCACAGGCACCTTGTGAATCTGTCAGTCCTTTGTCCGGATGACCTAGAGAACAGAACTGTACCGTTTGCAATCAGAGTCCCTTGGAGGAGCAAGTGTGGTGTCTCCATGCTCTTCTGGAAGCAGCTCAAGAGGATGATGGCTCGAGCAGAGCCAAGCAAGGTGGAGCTGGGCCAGAAGCTTGCAATTTTAGGAGCTTCTCTAGGGGAGGAAGGCTGTTACCTGACCTTGCTTTAGAACAATGTCCTTTCGCTCCATCTCTTTGTTTCTCTGCTCCCCCTGGTAAAACTCTGTCAGAACCATTAAACTTCAGACAGAGGAGTTTGGTTTTTGTGCAGCTGCTTGAAGGGTTTTGTAGTTGGCCCTGTAGGCTGTGTTCCCACTGTGTCCCCCATTGAGGGGGGTTCCCCAGGCCCTGTGGGGGAGTGGGCTTTGCACCCTGCTGCCCCGGGGGAAGGTTTTGTGAGCAGTGTTAAATTCCCCAACCAATTCATGCCAAGGCCAGACAGTTTAATGTGTTATTTATTGACAAGGTGGAGGCTGGGGCAGTGGGGAAGGGAGGAGGCTGTGGAGGGAAGGGGCTGCTCGGGCTGTGCTGGCAGCATGGGGGTGATGCTTTGAGTCAATTGCTCTTCCCCGCATCTCCTCCGAGGAGCCAGGTGGGAGTGCCTGGCCCCAGCAGGATCTGTTTCCAGTCTGTCCAGCATTGGCCCCCATCCCCTGAGCAGGGTACGGCTCTGCCAGTGTGTCCCCAGCTCATCCTCTTCAGGACATGGGCTAAGAACGCCTGAAGACTTGTCTGGATGAGTCCCCAAGTGCCTCCTCGATGCTGAAGCGCAGCAGCTGGAAATCTGGGCAGCGCATCCCGCTCTGGCCAGTGCTGCAGTTTGTGTAAGTCCTGTGATGCTCTCCTCCGGTGGGCTGCCCCCGGTGGCAGCGAGTCCCGCCTGAGGGGCAGCCCCAGCCCCCCATGGCACGGCCGTCAGACGGTGACCTCGGTCTTGCTGTTGGTGGCGAGGTGCCGGGAGTGCTGCCCGTAGAGCGAGGTGGAGGGGCCGAAGGCCTCGGGGGGCCCCTCAGGGCGCAGGGTGGCCAGGCCCGGCCGGCGGGGGCCGCGGTGCGGGGCCCCCTCCCAGCCCCCCGGGAAGGCCAGAGCCCCTGGTACCTTGGGGCCCTTGGGCAGGGGGCAGCCCTCGGCCAGCACCGGGCCCTCGGCTGGGAAGGTCAGTGTGCTGGCGGGGGGTGGCTCCAGGCCCCCGAACCGCCGGTAGAAGTCCTCGGAGGCGCTCTCTGTGGGGACAGGGGTGCAGCGTCATCCCTCCTGGGACACCCCTTCCTGCTGCCACGGCGGGACCAGGGAGGGTGCAGTGGTGGAAATGGCTGGGATGGAGCTGTAGGAGGGATTCTGGGTGCTGGGGGATATTGGCAATGAACTGGCTGGGCAGTGCAGTGTGTCCACGTGGATCCTGAACCCTGATGGGGTGGGCAGTGCTTCGGGTCTGTGTGGGATCCTGGGTGCGTGTTTCACTGGGAAGCACAGTGGATCTGTGGGGGACCCTGGGCACAGACTGGCTGGGCAGCACAGCTGGCTGGTGGAGTGGTGGAGGAGCTGCAGAGTTTCTGCTCTGAGCAGAACATTGGGAACCAGGAATATTGGGAAATTGGGATGCTTTTCCTGCCTATGCCCCTTTTGTGAGCCCCTTGCCCCTCCTCACTTGGTTTCTTGGATCAACAGGGTGCATGCCCCTAGCCACCATCCCATCCCACACAGCAGCAGCACTCACCTCCAACCTTGAGGGTGGTGTAGGAAGTGTAGTCCGGGGCTGAGAGAGCCAAGCTGCTGGCCAGCGGCAGGCGCTTGCCATGGCTGTGCGGCCGCCCCAGTGAGGGGGCAATGGCCACCGCATTGTTCAAGGGTGGCTTGTCTGGAGAGGCAGAGACAGATGGGGGCTCAGCCATAGGCTGCACCCTCCCACTGCCTTAATTCACTCAAGGGAACTTTTTTTTCCCCCACCACACCAGTGCCTTACCTGTGCTGTTTCTGGGGGGCCCCCGGGCCAGCCCCTCACTCAGTGGGACCTGCACACCCCCCATGAGGCTGTCCATGTTCTCAGAGGGGCTGTGGCCTGGCTGCTTCAGCAGATCTGTTAGTGTCCTGGAGAGGGGGTGGAGGGCTGTTAGAACAATATCCTGCTCCCTTGGGATCCCCAATTTGTCCCAGCCCTGAACTCCACTCTGAAGGCAGAGCTAGGCAGCCTGGGGCTAGGAAAGAGCCACTGGGAGCAGTGCACCCAGAGTGCCCCCAGGCTTTTGCTACCTGGGATAACAAGTCTAACAGCTAATTGGGATCTGGCTGGGGCTGAGCCCTCCCAGTGCTAGGAGCATCAGTGGGTAAGAGTAGTGAGGGAGATGCATGGCTTGGAGCAGGCTGCAAGGGTACGATGAACTGAGGCAGAACAAACTGATCTGATGGAAGCTGGAGCAACATCTCTGTGATGCTCTCCTGGAGCAAGACCATGGTGGAACAGGGGAGAGGAAGAAACACCACCACTCAAGTCCCTTCAAAACAGAGAAGACCCCAAGGAAGGGATTAGAGGCCACTTGTGCCCCTTTGGGGAAGGAAATAAACTAGTGGCAGCCTCTGGCGCAGGCGCTGTCTGTGCATAACACCCTTCTTATAAGTAACAGCATTAAACATTAAACACCGTTACATAAGATAGAGCCCTATTTTGTTTAACATTCATGGACAGAGATTCTGCAGTCCCACCACAGTGCGCTGGCAATGCCAGAGTGGGGCACAGCAGCAATGCTGGAGCAGGGCGCACTGGCAGTGCCAGAGGGGGATCACAATGGCAGTGTCAGAGCAGGGCACGCCAGCAATGCTGGAGCAAGGTACACCAATGCTGGCGTTGTCAGAGGAGGTACAACAGCAGTGACAGAGGGACCACGTTGGCAGTGCTGGAGCAGGACCTAGCCATGTGCCCCTGCAGCCTTTGGCAGCAAGTCCCAGAACAGGATGGGCTGCTCCTGCTGGCACCGGGCTTTGTGATAAGACACACCACTCCCCCCTGTAGAGACCATGCCTGCATGACTGCAAGAGTGCAGGGGTGTCCACTCAGGGCTTTTTTTGGCTCGCTAATCCCCAGCTCACTGTCAGCATGCCTTGCGCCTTGAAGGCTCTGGCTGGCTCACAGACACACACCGTGAGCTGATGGTTAGCAAGTGGTTGGACAATAAAGCAGCAGATTAAACTCAACATGCATAAATGCAAATTGGAGAGGAAGGGGGGAATAATCCTGACTTGATAGATGTGTCAGCTCACGGCACCAGAGTGCTCAAAAACCTAGCGAACGGGATGCTCGGAATTTCCAGGAAAAGCAGTGAGAACAAGGAAGAAAGCAATGAATTGTTCCTGGGAGATGCTTATGCTTGTGAGGACCTGAGGGAGCCTTTTCCTCCCAGTTTGGAATCAGTCAGCATCACAGGGCAGGGGCAAGAGCACAGCTACAAGGAAAGGTCGCTTGCCCTTTGGGTTAATTTCACATCATTCTTGGGAAGCTTTGTGTAGCAATCCCTCGGGGTCACTTAATCTCCAGATGGGCCAAGAGAGCCCTGATAGAGCTGAAGAAATTGAAACAAGCAAGAAACAAGCCCTGGCAGCTGAGCAGCTGGAAGGCAGCTTGGCAGAAAAGGGCTTGGGGTTCCTGGTGGACACCAAGTTGACCATGAGCCAGCAGAGTGCCCTTGGGACAAAAGAGCTGAATGGTTTCCTGGTCTGCATTAGGCAAAGTGTTGCCAGCAGGTCGGAGGAAGGCAATCCTTCCTCTCTGCTCGACACTGGTAAGGCCCCACCTCTGGCGTGCTGGCTCCAGCTCAATACAGGAGAAGCATGGATGTACAGGAGAGAGTCCAGGGGAGGGCCACGAAGATGGGACTGGATAATTTTTTATATGAGGAGAAGCTGAGAGAGCTGAGACTGTTCAGCCTGGAGAAGTGAAGGTTTTGGGGGATCTTATCAATGTATGTGAGTATCTGAAGGGAGGGTGCAACAAGGACAGTGTCAAGCTGACAAGAGGTGACAGGTGCAAACAGAAACAGGAAATACTGTTCAAACAGAAAAAACAACTTTTTTTTTTCCCTGCAGGAGAAGTTAAATTCTTGACCCGGCTCCCTCGGGAGACTGTGGCATCTCCATGCTGCAGCTATTCAAAACCTGCACCTTCCCAGGAACCTTCCTGCAACAGACTGACCCAACCAGGGTTCAGGCCGTGGATGGGCAGTCAGAGAATCTCTGGGCACAAGCCTAGGCAGGCAGTGGGCTGTGCCTAGGCAGGGCAGGGGGAGGCGAGTCCTCCGAGGCCATGGGTGTGGGCTGTCAACTCAGGGAGCTGCCGCCCTGTCAACTCCCACCTTCCCTGGGGTGCACTGCTCACCAGCCCCTCCCCACTGGACACTGCCTGCTCTTGCCTGCCCCCGGGGCTAGCGCTCAAACAGGCTTGTTTCAACAGGAAGTTCGATGCGATTTGACCTATTTTTAAAATTATTTTTTTCTTTTCCTCGGGTCTATTTATGAAGCTTGAGCAATCCTTTATCTATGACTTCTCTCCACATAAATCCATCAATGCTCTTTCTCAAAAATGTGCCCTCCGTGCTGACTGCTCGGGGTATGTGGACAATAACGATTAACAACTGCTCAAGCAGCAATTAGTGAGCTGCTTTGCTAAGGTGAGAAGCACGCACGAATCCCCAGCAACAACACTTGGATTCACCCTGCCCTTGAACCACAAGTAGTGCCACTGGCCAGGGCTGCCAGTAGGGCTCTCAGGGACTGCAACCCTTCCCTGGCTCATCCCCAGGTAATGCAGTGCAGGGAAGGTGGACATGGAAGGTGACACTATGGAGGAGCTGTTGTCTCACTGAACATCACCTTGGGGGTTTTGAGCCTCAGTCTGGTCCTGTGGCTGGGGAGCTTGAGGAAGGTCACCTGGTAGTCTGCAGCACCAAGATGGATCTGGAGTCCAGAAGGAGGAAGGGAACAGAGAGTAGATGCAGCTTTAGACCTGCACTGCTCATTTGCAAAAAGTCCTGATGAATGGAACCGCTGAGGCCTCCATCCACACTCTGGCCGTGGATATAGAGAGAACATGAGGCCATGTGTGAGGGTGGCTTGCCACCCAACTTGCCTGAGCGTCAGCTGGGTGGGCATGCAGCTACCTCCATGGCAAGCCTAGTTCTGCTTAAGGGTGTGACAAAGATGCCCCAAACCAGCCTAGTGCGAGACCTGAGACAATGCACAAAGGCAGATCCAGAAGCAATAATGATGGAGGCCAAGTGATCTTCACAGCAGAAACCATGCATGAAGCACTCATTGCTCCTGATCCATCCCCAGGGGATGTGCTTGTGTGGGAGCAGGATGCTGACCTGGCATGGCAGCTCAGCCCAGGGCCTGATTCAGTATTGGGAAGCCCAGGCCCCATACCTGGCCCAGCAGGAGAGAGTATGCAAGTCCTGGCAAGGGGACAGGGAACAATGTGGGGAGACAGGAGCACAGCCTCCCGGAGAGAGGAGAGATAATGGACTGATGAGGTGAAGTGACATTGCCATTAGCTGAACCCTTGGTGGGGACACAGAAGGTGGCAGCCACTGGATGAGTGGGGTGATGAGGTTTGGAGCAGAGGTGCAGCATTGCAGGAGGCACAGAGCACGCTGCAGCCACAGGTGAGCATCCCAACTGCTCGTACCACCTCTGAATGCAGTGAGAGCCTCATCTTCACCTCCCGAGGGAGACATTTCCCACACCTTATAGCATGTCTGCTCAGGGCAGAGGTGCCCATCCATGCAACTGAGCAACACAGGCACTGTGGAACACCTGCCCAGTGGGGCTGGTACACTCAGGGATGCTCAGGAAGGTACACGGGGTTATCAAGGTGTCTTTGCAAAATCAAGTTACAGTGGTGGGTATTGGAGTTTGGGCAAAGTGGAAATGAGCATCCCCAAACATTACATTCAGTCTAGGGACAGATCTCCAGGTCTCGCTCCCTACTGGAGCTGGATCCTCTTTTGTCCCCCAGAGAGCTAGGGCAGCATGTGATAGCACACCATGCTGCCTGCAAACACGTTTTTTAGGTCTTCACCATGACCTGATGTCCATGGTAATGGACATCAACTGCAGGTCTGGCCCTGTTGAGCATTGCCAGAGAAACACCCAGTACAGCTAGAGGTGCAGTGGGGCCAAATTTGGGGACCCCAAATAGCCTGGGGAGACCCACAGAGTGAAAAGCCAGAGTTGAGCACTCACCTACTGCAGCTGCCCAGGCACCTGCTCCTAATAGGTGTTTTGCCCTTCTCCAGAATCCCCCCTACTCCCTAGGAGGCTGCTCCTTGCCCAGTTCTTCCCAGGGTTGTTCACACCAGCTGTAAGTTTGCAATTCCCACCCAGGAGGTTTTCTGGGAGAGGTCCGGGGCACGTGCTTGCTCTCAATGTAATGGGCACAGACAGATCCAGGAGGCCCCCAAGGACCCAACGTCCTCGGAGATCCGGGGACTGAATAAAAACACAGGCAGGTGTTCCTGACTCAACGCGGGGTTTGGCCAGGCTAAGCGAGTGACGGGGACAGATGCCAAGCATGAGCCGAGCAGGAAGGAGAGGGGATTGCAGGAGCTGCCATAAGGCCCTGCAGGAGGAAGGCGGATGAGGACGGGAGGACAAACCAGGTAGCTGCGATCACTTGAGCACCCACTTCCTTGGGTGAACCAGCAGCCAAATCCATAAGGAGACAAAGACATACTGGAGATGGCCAAGGTATGGAAGTATCAGGACAAGCTAGACTCAGACTCAGGTGTGTCCGTCAGAGGGGAGCTAATGGACTTTTTGCACCTGGTCGCTCTTCTTGGGTTTGGACCAGGACCAGAACTATGACAAACAACATCTGGAGGTGCAGACGTGGTTGACCCTACCCCCCATGTGAGAAACCTGCGAGCAGCAGTGGTAGGAGCTGTCCAGGGCAGCACAAAGTGCTCCCCAGGAGCGGAAAAACCCTGGCGGGAGGGAGGGACAGGAATGGAAATCAAGACAACTGTGCAACAGGGAGCTGGCCCAAGGCCATGATGCGGTGCCCAAGGAGCAAATGAGAAGCTCCTACCTGAGGCGCCAGAAGAGAAGGAAGGTGGCACTGCCCATGCCTTGGACCATGCGTGGGTACAGTGGCAAGCCAGGTAGAAATAACCAAGACTAAGCATATTCCCCCAGCTGCCCAGGCACTGTGGAATGGAGGTGACAGCATTCCTTTTTGGATGCTGATGCCATGTACCCAGCCTTTGGCACTGCCTCCATTGGCCCAGCACCCAGGAAGTCGTGTCAGCCTGGTGTCTTGCCTGGTTCCTGGGGCTCTGCACCTGATACACCACTCCTGTCCTGTCACCATCCCTGTGGAACCAGAGCTGCTCACAATTTGCACAGAAGGACACAGGGCACAGAAGAGGGCAAGACTTCTCCTAACTTCTGCAGTGATGGAGGTGCCCTTTCTGATTTTGTCCCTCAAAGGTGGATGAGAAAAACTCGTCTTCTCCCAATCTGTATGCTAGTGCCCAAAAGATATGTGGCTTTAGGCAGAACAGGCACCTATCTCTCCAAACTCAGGGGGAAAATTCAGGCTTGCATGAGTTTAGAGGGAGGGGGTACCAGGGGAAACACATGGCTCCAGCAGCACAGAATTGAGGCTACCCAGCCCCTGGTTGAAAAACAGCCCCTGGTGAGTGGCAGCAGTCCCACCAGCATCTGGTGGCGGGAGAAGGCAATACCCAGTGGCAGGGGATGAGGGCATGGGTCTGGGTGTCTCAGAGTCTGACACCTCCGCGAGCACAGTATCTCTTTCCCAGGGGGTGGGGGGGATGACCAAAAAAAGACGCGGCGGCAGGCGAGTGGAAGGGGATCAGGAGGCTGGCGGAGGCCGTATTGATCCTGTCAAGGTGCCAGCACTTCCTCAGGCAGCACGGGGGGGAGGCGTGGGCACATAGCAGCACACAGCCAGGCTCCCTGCCAAGGCGGGGGCACAGGATGGATCCCCCCAAAACTGCCTCTTGTGTCTCAGGAGGGTCCTGTGACCCCTCCTCCATGGCTCAGGATGTCCCTCCTCCAACCAGGGGTGGTCAGCCTCTGCTCCCTTGGGTGGATCCAAAAAGTAGGATGGGTCTGGATTTGGGGTGCAGCACCCAGTGGCTGCATAAGTCCCAAATGGACAGGGGAAAAAGGGTGATCCAGGGGAAGGAGAGTGTGTTGGTGCTGGGTTTTGCAATCAGGACAGTTGCCTGATCATCCCTATGAAATAATTTCCATCAACCCTGCTTTTCCTTTTTTAAAAGCTAAAATTCCTTAACAAAATGTCATGAAAATGGATTTCTCTCCAGGCTTGATGTCCTCACTGGGAAGATGCAAAGTAGAGCGCCAAAATGGGGAAAGAAGCATGTATTGGCAGCAGGAGGGAGAGGGGAAGATGCAGTGACAGCCACAGCACCAGCACAGGAGTTGGGGGAGAGGCAGGGGGTCTCCAGTGCCTAAGTGTGTCTGACACCTTGACCTCCGTCCTTCCAGCCCTGTGCTCAGCCCCAGGAGTGGGCTGAAAAGCAGGGCTTGGAGCCACAGGGCATGGACTCCAGGAAGAAGCTGCCCAACTTTCCACTGGAGAGTGTGCTCCAGGGGATATAAGAGTGTGGATGCCCCCTGCATGGGTGTCCTAGTGCACAGGGCAGACACCAGAGCACACGTGTGCACACACATACATGTGTGTGTGCGCACATGCACACAGAGTTGGCACAGCAGCCATGGTGGGACTGTCATTGCCACCTCGTCTCCCCCAGCACTGCAAGCAAGGCTGAGATCAAGAGGACTGCAGTCCAGACCCGGTCTCACCTTCCTGGGACATTGGGAATCACACATTTGTTGTGGGGGGGAGGCCACGTCCTATAGCTCACATGTCACCCACCCCACTGCCTGGTGGATTGGCACTCCTGAGCCAGGGACATGCCTCCTCAAGAGACAGAGCAGGTCATTTTGAGAGGAGATGGGTGTACGACCACCACTTCTCGTGGAGGCTGTCCTGGCTGCCAGCCCTCCCTACCAGGTTAGTGGACTACAGCCAACCCACCCCCTGGTGCTTCAGCATGCCAGACAGGGATTTTAGGGATCGCCTCACCCTCTTGGCAGTCCCAAGGTGAAGCCAGGGTTCAGTCTACGCAATCGGCTAGGAACATGAGCTGCCACCCTTGGGAAGATGAAGCAGGGAAAGTGGGGGGACTGGACCCCTTTACCTGGAGACGGTCATCTCTGTCTGGGGACCCTGTGCCTTCTCCAGGCCCAGCTTGGTGAAGATGCCCACCAGCACCATGATGGCCACCACACCGCAGATGATGTAGACGATCATGTTGGTCTTGTCACGAGTGGGGTCCTCGGGGGTCTCGTCCACACGGGCAGGCGGCTGGCCCGTGTTGACCCAGTTGGGGGTGTCGTAGTTGGAGCAGCCGCTCTGGTCCAGCCGCCCGGGCTTGAACTGGCAGCAGAAGCGGTACCCGCAGGTCCCGCAGCAGTACTGGTAGATGCCGGCGTTGCAGTTGAACGGCGGGTCCCACTGCCCCATCACGTCGTAGTACCCGCGGCAGCGGTCTCCCCCCGGTGGTGCCGCTCCGGTGGGCGCGGGGACCGTGGTCTCCGGCGGCGGAGCCTGGCTGCTGTTCCCGCTCTCCCCGGACCCCCCGGTGCTGGGCTCGCCGCTCCACACCCGGCCCGGCTCCAGCAGCACCAGGCAGCAGATACCCACGACGTAGCTCGGCTCCATGCGCCCGCGGCTCCGGGGGGCCATCTGGGCGAGGAGACGAGTTAGAGCCGCTCGCCCAGGACCGGCCGCATGGCCGCCGAAGAGTCCCGATGGAGGAGAAATGGGCTGGGGAGAAGGGGGGCGTAATGGAGGGAAGGCAAAAAAGGGAAGAAAAAAAGAAGTGGGTGAAAAATAAAAGTGCGAGGGGACGTACCCCCTCCCCGTTTCTCTCCAGATCGGCCGACAGGCAGAGATTCAGAGCAGGGGGCGAGGCGGGCGGCATGAGAGAGCCGCCGCCTCCCGCCGGCCGGGGAGAGGACGCGGCGGCGGGCGGCGGGAGCGGGCGGGCGGGTCGGGCGCCGGCGGCCGCCCCATCCCCGCGCCTCTGCCCGCGCCTCCCGGCACCGCGCTCCGCCGAGGAGACAGAGAGGAGAGAGAATGGAAAAGCAGCAAAAGCCCTTCGCACCAGGGCGGGAGGAGCAGGAGGAGCAGCAGCAGGAGGAGGAGGAGTGCGGGGGAGAGGGGGAGGGAGCCGGCGCGGCCAGCGAGGCGCAGGGGGCTCGGCTCCCCCGTCGCCTGACAGCCTCCCGAGGAAACCGGAGAAGGTCCTTCACCGAGTCCTCTGCCAGGCTCCCCGCCGCCACCGGGCGGCAAGACACCCGCCCTCCCCGTCGGGCAGCCGCCGCGGGCGGCCGGACACGCGTGGCACCAGTCCCGCGCTGCCCGCCTGCCCCCGAACACCACCAAGCCCCGCCGCCGCAGCCCCGCTCCCCCGGACGGGAGCTGCGGGGCTGCAGGCGGGCACTTACTGGTACAGGAGAGATGTCATCTGGGGGGACAAAGCCCCGGGGGTGGTGGGGTGCCCTTCTGCAGTCTCTCAGCGAGGGGACACTTAGGGAAGGGGGGAGAGCAACAGTCACAGAACCTTGTGAACATCAGAGCATCCTCCAAGGGGAGCTGTCGACGGGGGGCTGTAGGATGAGCAAAGTGGGGCACTACTGGGGCACTCCTAGCAAGTCATCCTCCACAGAGTCGGGATGATTTTTCAATCAGCCGCTGGCTAGCCCTGTGTTTGGACTTCGAAGTTCAGACTCTCTGGGGAATGTGCATCCACTGCTCTGGTCCCAGGCTGATGCCACCCAAAAAGGTGGTATTCGTCGTCACTGCCAGCTCCTCTTCCCAGAAAGGCATGATTTGCTTTTCCTCCTCTGGAGCCATTGTGATAAGAGCAGGATAGGGCAAACTGAGGGGCTGTCGGGCCCCTTGCCCAGCACTAACACATTGCACAGCCTGTAACAAGGGCTGGGGTGAGGGGCAGTGACATATGGGAGCTGAGGCTGCAGCCTCATCACCTCCAGACAGACCTAAATCCTGTAGCAGGGAAGGTCAACAAATCTGGCATCACCACTGTGTTTTTGGGCATCTATTCCCTCCATACTCTGTGAGAGAGAGGATGAATAATGCGTTGTTTTGTCTTGCCTGGTTTATACTCTAACCTGGAGGATGTGGCTGCCCTTGGGCTGCATAGTGCTGGCACAGGAGACCCAAACCCCGGGCAAGTGGTGATATAAAAAGACATTAAAATGATGGAGGTGGGATTAAACAGGTCGTGGAGGCTTATCTCCCTCAGGCCAACACTGAAGCCCCATGGACAGGCCTGTCCTCAGGAGCCATGCCTTAACTGCCACACCACAGGGGGCAAGACTGAGGGTCCCACATGGGATGAAACACTCCTTCATCCATGAAACACTCACATTGCCTGTGCATCATGGCAATCCGATATTTCAGGCTGGAGCTTTGCACAGAAAGCTTCCCACCCCATTGAGGATGAAGCACTCGTGTGTTTTTCTGGGGGATGGATTTAGAGGATAAAATATCCTTTCCCTATTCACCAAGCCTGAGCCCTCCAGGCCCCCGGTTGCTTCCCATCTGGAGTTTGGCAAAAGTCAAAGACATTGCAAGCATGGATGAGGAGAGCAGCTGGAGCCCGGGACGTGTCCATCGGTCCCAAGTGCCTCAGCCTAATAGAGATCCATTAGGTAAGGTAGCTTGTAGCCTCCAGAGCTTCCTGAAAGATATAAAAATCTAGTGAGGCGGAAAAGGCACACTTTCCCTACATCTCGGAGGGCTCTCTGATGAAAGGCCCCATCGTCTGGAAGTTGCAGACATGGGGGTCGTTACCACTAATAGCCGAAAGCAGCATCGGCCTTGAGAGAAGCTGCACAAGCAAAGTTTGCGGCTGCCCAGGTAACGCCAGCAATCGTTTCCCAGGCACCGGCTGATCGCTCCCGACGTGTGTGCGAGCAGAGTCGCCCCGGGGGCCCGGAGAGTTTAACAGACTGTTAACAGGCAGAGCGAAAAACTGGCCAAAATCGGGGAGTTTGCTGGAAAATGGTTGCCTGGCATGACCTGGGAAAACGGGAACGGTTTTAAGGCTGGGGGAGGGTGTTTACTGAGTGTGAAGCAGCCGATTTAAAGGGTCTCTGGGAGCGAGAAGGAGGGAGGAAGAGCCGCTCGCAGGCGCTATCTGCGTGCATCAGCCCAAAGGGAAACCAAAGCCAAGGGCATGGTTCGGAGGAGCATCCGCCCGGCACGTCCCCGGCGCGCAGGGCCGGCCGGGGCTGGCTCCGTGCAGTGCTGGCACCAGGGGCTGCAGCTCGCAGCCCCGCTGAGCCGTCAGCTCATCTTTGTCAAATAAGTGACCCAGCCTCTGCCTGCATCCCCAAAGGGAGGGGGTTGTGAGAGGGAAATCCTGTAGCTCGGCACCTACACTCTCACATCACTGGGAAGCAGCGGCAGGACCCGCAGGAAAATTCAGGTCAGCAGGGACCTCCGGAGAAAAAGCAAAGAACATGCTTGCAACATCCACGGACAATTGTAGGGAAGGGGATTTGGGAGAAGAGCTCCGTTAGTCTTTGACCACCAGCCTTGGAGGATGTCACAGAAATATTCCCTGTAGTGACAATGCCACCCGGACTACAGAAGGGTGTCTCTGCGCCTGCAGAAATAGGATATTCGGGCCGCTCAACACCGAGCGGGGAGGGATGCGCTGAGCACTGACACTGTAAACAGATTGTTTCTGGCAGGGCACAGTGATCTGGAGAAGATCCTCTCTGTCACAGCCAGAGAGCCCGACAGACCCAGATCCCCGCTGATCATGGGGGTGCAAGCCTAGCAGAGCTGCCAAGCTCTTGCCCGAGGAACAGGAGGAGGAGGGAGCCATCACCATCATCAGTGTCAAGTAAAGCCCGGGGAACCTCCCTGAATGTGGGAGGATTTGGGGTGCAGTCAACTCCTGAGAAAAGCTGGCAGTCAGTGTTTGGAGCCCCAAAGCTACCCAGCCAGGTCCCTCTCCCTGCTACCCAGGGAATCAGAGACACTTTCCCTTCCCGAAAAAGTGATTTTTACCCATGCAGAACCGAGCTGGACTCAGGGCCAAGGGGTGAATGAGGGAAAGGATGCTGCTGTGGGATGAATGCCCCATCTCGAAGGGCTGTGCTCCAGCACCTCATGTTTGTGTGCTCAGGAGTGGTGCTAGAGTGGGTTTTGCTGTTTGCAAATCAGCAGCTAACACCCGACATCATCATCTAGGAAGAACTGAAGGCGAAGGAAGGCTGTCAGGAAGAGCTTCCAGCATACGCTGTGACACTGTCCCCTGCCTGAGGCAGAGGAGAGGCAGAGCTCCTGCCACTATCCCTGCGGGTACACGGGGCGTGTGCATCCCCCCACACCTCCCACCATTCCCCAGTATACACAGAGAAATTTGTTTCTCTCTGAAACTTGAGCTACTAATGCTGGTTCTGTTCCAGCCAGGGCTAGAGCTAGGGAAGAGTCTCCCCTTGCCTTTGTCTCTGTGAGGGAAATTTCTTTGGCCATCAGCATCCTGTTTGTAAGTTATGTGTTTTCTCAGACTCATTGTCTAGGAGTGGGACAAGTAACCCCTGGACTGTGATTAGGGATCCCTAGGGTCAAGTGCTGGGCTAGTGTGCAGTAAGATGCTACTCCTCACATTATCATAGGCTCAATGGATTAGGGAAACCAAAACAGATCTTGGGTTGCTGGCATTGGAAAACTAAAGCAGGTGAAAGTTAAATGCACTGAGGGAGATACAGAGATGAGGTGGCTGAGCCCAGAGCAACCACCAACCACCCTATTTCCAGCACAATGTGCACAAGGGTTTTATTCTCCTTCCTGTGCTTGATGCTCTGGCTGTAAAATGGCTGTTAAAGAACAACTGTGCCTCATAACGGCTTATAGAGAATACAGAAGCATATGTGCTTTACCATTAACATCATAACTGCAAACATTCAAAAGTTGAGATTTGCTTCCAGCTTTCAGCTTCCCAAACACGACTGGATTCGAATCCAAATGACATCCAGAGGAATGAGGAGAAAATCAGCTCAAAGCAAAGGCTTATTTTTAATTTATGTCACAGTATGGGCAAGCAGGATCTGGGCTGGAATCTTGAGCTCCCTCAGCTGCCACTGTTAGAGGGCAGCTTCCACATACAGCACAAAGGTCCATGAGCATCAGCTGTGACCCCCAGGCCCCCAGGCTGTCTGCATATGGACTTTGCATTTAGGATTAAATTGGGAGGCAATGCTGGTAAATGCTTCCCCTTTGCAGACACTTGGTGCCCATCAGCTCGCTAGCCCAGGGGTTTTGCTGGCATAGTCTGGAAGTTGTGTTTGGGATGGCAGAGTCTTTGCAGCCCCGTTTACACTCATCTGAGCTTCAGTGAAGTCAGTGGGACGTTGACCCAAAACTGTCCCCTCACTGGTGCCTACAGGCTGAGCAGGAGCACCCCAGCCTCAAACCTCCTACACTGGGCTTGTGTGGCAGGTCCCTGCTGCTGTCCTGGGTGGAGCCCGAGTATTTTCTCCTTTCCTCTTCAAAGTAAGTTTCTACCAGTTTTTCAAGCATTAAAAAGCCATATAAATACCTGGAAGCAGTAATGCACAACTCAACTTACACAGCAGTGCAGTGGCATCTCTGGCTATGCTCCCTCTCTCTACCCGCTCTGCTCTCACCCCTGACCACTCCTCATGCAATGTGCTGATTCAAACTACAATCATTTAGGGCAAAACACACCCTAAGAGAGAAAGGATGAGAGCAGCCATTGCAATGCAGGGCATCCTTAGGGCTCAGTGTAACAGCTGTGTGTGAAGGGGGTCTGCTGCTGGGAGGATGGGAGGCAGCGGAGCCAGACCCAGGTTGCTTTAGCCAACTGTGGAGCAATAAAAACCGGACCATGGCAGCAAAAGGGACCCAGTGTTTCCCCTCCCATGCTTCCCACTCCTGAAGCAGTGGTGGCAGTGAGCTGTTGGGGTTTG